GTGAGCCCTAAGGAGCATAGGCATGACTTTTGTTTGTGACACGAATGAGCATTGAAGATGAGCACCCCCAGATTCATCGTTGATGCTTCGACCTGGACCACCATATGTACGGTTCCTGTAGGTTATGGGTTGCATTACATGGTCTTAGAGGGATTAAAAATCGATTTCGCGGACCTTATACCTCAATTTGCGGACCCCAATTTGCCCTGAAACTTTTCCTCTCTCGGTCCTATCAGTTTCGGCTTCGAGTGAGCTTGAAGGAGAAGTTGTCCTACTACTTGGGGAGGGGGGAGCACATTCTGCCTAGGCAAGGGAATACATAATGTAACGTCTAAGAATGTCCTGGTCTAAGTTCTCCTCAGCGCTTATATTGCTATTTTAAATATTTTTTTTGGATTTGCAGTCAAATCCGTGAATCGGCTTATTCTTGGCAGCTGCAAAAGCTTCGCCATCAGCATTTCTTTTTTTCCACACCTCTGCCTCGCTTTCACACATCCAGATGGTTTTTATCTTGGCCACACACTGCACTCTTTTAAAACTCCCTGTCTGGCCTGGGGAAGGGGCTATACTACCCATAAGTAAAGATCGCATATGAACATATGTATGTCGTATCACAAAACATTCATATTTTGGTCCTGTGACTATTCCCACTTGTTCTACCCATATGTCGAAGTTCCCACACATGAGCTCACAACATCTTGGCAGTTTAGGGAGAGCTATGGCAATGCCTAGATATCAGCTGTAGGGATTCCGAGCCCACAATGACGGAAGGGTTTGCGGGGCTCCGGGTGGGCTCTAAGGGGAACTTGTTTTTTCGCCTACAACTGCCCAGCCGTTCTCACTTCACGTTCAAGCCGATTTTTCATATCGCCAATTGTCTGCTGCTGGCCATCCAAACGGATGCCAATCATAATTCATCTTCATCTTGCCGCAATACTACAAAGGCGACACAACAACTGTTTCTCACGAGCCTGATCCCTACGACGAGTTAAATATCTCCCCGACGTCGCCGTCGTCGTTGTCGATGATTTCCGTTTACTGGCTGGGTGACATTGACGGCTTGCGGCTAACCGCTTGACGTTGATACGGGAAAAATGTGTAAATGGGTGGTCCAACTGGGCAATTTACTTGCCCACCTTTGAGCTCATGTTCGAACGCGTCCCCATGCCGTCATTTCACGTCATTCCATTATACTAGAAAATCGCCAAAAAATCATTTTTTTTCCCGAACGTTCCGCCTTGGCGGTCGGTTCTTTTTCACTTTGCTCATCATCGTCGTTTACCTTTGCCCTCCTGACGTCTGTTATTCATCCTACTGGTTTACCTACTCGTTTTTTCCTTTGACAAGAAATACGACGTACTTACTATTTTTATAGATTTTCAGTTGGCAATAGGCCAAAGTACTTATCAGTCTGTAGTTTATACTATCAAATCACATTTCCCATGTGATTGAAAATCGATTAGCACTTCGGCTTTTTGTCTTTTGATTCGTCGTTCAAAACTTTCCGTTCAAAATCCCGGAACATTACCCCGTTTCCCTCTGAGAGGCCTTTAGGTCCATCTTATATTGAGAGCTTTTTTGATCCCAATGCCATCCGAGAGAATCCATTGGCTGACCAACTGTTTTGGAGTGCCTTTTTTGCCACCGTACCCTCAAGAAGAGCGGAGATGAAGTAGTGGCAGGAAGCGCAGCCGCCACGAATGTAGTCCGTTGATCGAATTTCCGAAACAAGTTCCGCTGAAAACAATCAGGCCCTAAGTCTGTCTGATGTCGGGCAGTTGTCTCCCATGATTGAAAAAGAACTGCTCTTCGGATTCAGTAGCGTGCAAGGAGAGATTCTTCACCCAGATGCTGCCCATTCTATGTATCGGCGCTATCCCAAATGTTATGTCCCGGGAGGAGGCAACCAAGTAAAACAACTGAAAACATGGCCAAAAATTGTCATATACCATAAGCGGGCCGGAACTTCTATTATACATTTCACCTAGCACGTATAGCAAAAAGGATCTGGGAGAACGAGTTTTGGGATTGTTGACTTTTAACCGGTTAAGCATGAAAGCGCTAGGCTCGCTAGGTTGTGGCTATCATGTTCACCTAACACAAACACAAACAAATGAACGCCTCCCCAAACTGGCGACTGGGAAAGCTATCAATTCGACGGTAGCGGGATTTCACTCTGGTCCTTATCAGGCCCCACGTTCATCCTTCTTGTTCTTTACATTCTGCTCATAGTAAACTCTCTCTCTCTGGAATGTTCCCTCTGTTACCCAGATTCCAGGTCCTTATGGATTTCATGAATTCATATGCTTTTCTTCCTGATTTTTCCCTATTCCTCGAGTTTTTAATGATATCTTAATGTAGGGACATTTTGCCATCGTTATAATTTTTCGGCATTATAACTCCCTTCTCCAGCTTCTGAGCGCCTTTGTTTATTTACTAGCGTAAACACTTACTTACTTTTTTATCATTTTTAATCGCCTTATGTTCGTTCTCTTTACCCCATAATACTTTTAACACGCTTACATCACTTTTAACTCACCAGAAAGATATCACCGAAGTGCCTTCATGGGATCGTTCCACCATCTCATCAAGATTTCGATTGTAGTCCATCCCTTTGTTGACTAGGATGACCGATTCTCTAATCTCTGATTTTCTACGAAAGGATTAAACTAGGTCGGACTTCTTATCAAACTGTCTTAAATTGGTAATTATTGGTAATTCAGCAATTATTGATCAACATTAAAGCGCCATGCGTTCGACTTCAACCATAAATTGTAAAATATTCATTTTCTCACTTCTATTGGTCCCTACACAACATTGAAGATGCTAAATAAGCCATTTTCCTTCTTTCCTACTACTGATCAACACAAAGATTCCCTAAATCCACCCCTTGGACTGGAGCGGAGTGTCACAACCTACCACTTCCCGAATCGGACCTCTGTCTATGGTGCAAAGGCTGATGCCGATGTTGTCAGATCGGGAAATANACACAAAGATTCCCTAAATCCACCCCTTGGACTGGAGCGGAGTGTCACAACCTGCCAGTTCCCGAATCGGACCTCTGTCTATGGTGCAAAGGCTGATGCCGATGTTGTCAGATCGGGAAATAAATAGCTTCAGGGCACCACAAAATTTTTATAAGGACAAATGTAGTCCCTAGTCTCATACAGCTAATTGTACCGTCATTGGAGTCGTCGTAGAAGATTGTTAGACATAGAACAGTGACATGTGGCTTTGTAAGGTACCATTCCCTTTCCTCCCCACAGCAGTACTGGCGCTGGGCATGTGATAAGGGAATTGGACTCGTATGTAAAGAAAGTTCGAAACAATTAAGCAACTTGATTGATTGGATTAACCTTTTTGTGAGGCGATCAAAACATCGACCTCAACAATGGTTGGCTCTAGCAAAAGCTTCAGCAAGTTCATACTCATTCAAGTGCCTGCAGCTTTTGCAGTGGGCTCGCCTGACTGGGTCTTACCAAAAAGGAATGGCTCATTTTTGGAGCTTTCCTTTCTTTTTTTTATCTTCAAAGAAAAGTACGAAATGACGTAGAGGACTGATTGGACGAGTTGACTTGCTCACGCTTCTTTCCGCTTGCCTACATACTCGCCCTTGAAAAAAGTGTTGTTTCCGTCGCTGAATTTCCTGCTTACCAACATTTGACCTTTTCGTTGCTCATTGCCGTTCACGTCACCGCCCATGACTTTACGTGTGCTTGAAGCCATGGGAAAGTCGTTCCCATCCAAATCGCTAGCATTTCTCTTGCCTCTCATGATTCGCCGGAGGCTGGGAAGTATAGCCAGTTACCTTTACTGACATTGGCTCTTTGAAATCACCTTCGGAGTTTACCCTTTCGTGCTAGTTCTGGGTCTGAATCGGACCCGAGAAAAAATGGCTTTCCTGCTGTTCGGCTGCTGAACTTCAATTTCCGATTTTCCAAAATGGATGGTGGGCAGACATTAGATCATGCATAAAGTATAAATAGCCATCTTCGTTGTTTTCCGAATTCCATTTATTATAGCGGGCCATTCATCCACGTCGACCCGATACTGTCTTTTCCCGTGCGACTGCGGGAATCCTTGTTTTGATTTCCGAGTAATTTGTTAAACGGGGATTGCAGGGTGTATTCGATCACTAGTTTCCAACCTGATGAACTCGTCAATTTCAAGTGTCCCGAGAAATTTCCGACCTATAAGGCGGAGCTTAGGAAACATATAAATGAGCTACTACCACCCAACCACAGCCACCCACTCAGGGTTTCTCTCAGTGGTGTTATTTGGCCCGGTATCTGCTTCGCGGGATTATAGGGCTAGTCTAAGTCCTTTTGAGCTCCTTCTGGGGTCTTTCAAGCCTTTCAACTGACTCAATGAATGGAATACCTAACCTATCTTCTGCGCGACATCAAACGAGGTTATACCCGGGATTCGATCCTCGGATCAAGTTCGTGATATATAGCGACTCGTAACTACTTCGCTTTTTCCCTAACTACGGGCTCTACGATGAAGAGGCACCTTGATAACCCTGAACCAACCCAGAAACCTAGTGGGGTTGGTGTCGATGAAATCTCCGATATAGCGGAAGGGCGGTGAAGAATATTCTATTCGAGCTTCCGTTCTCTTCCTACCAGTTCTTATGATAATGCACTTCATTTGATCTAATTCGCTACGATCCATTGTTCTTCTGCATTTTAGCTCCGCCCCCTACGGGTGGCGTTTTCAGTACTTCGGAACTCATTCACTTCCGCATGATTTTTGTTCCATTATTGCTAAAATCTGCAATTGCGACTGCCTTTTTTGCACCATCTCTAATTTGCCATTTTCTCATGCCAATTACTACTACGATTTTGCGACGTCTCGTTTCCGTACCTCCGCTACTTAATTGCAGCCTCAGCAACAGCAAGCAGTTACGGCGTCTGACCATTCAGTAGCTTAGTGAAAACATCTTTTCTTCTACTAGCTACTTCGTATTGATCGACGCCATCTAATCGATAATACTACGGATGATTAAATCACGTAGTCTCAACTTCCCGTGCTCTCAAACTCAACGTATCAGCTGTTCGGGCAGTGTTGATGAGATTCGAGCACTAATGTATGTTTATATGCGTAGTGTGTATGTTAGTGTGAATGAATGAAAGAACAAAGCGGTAAAGTTCAAGTGTAAAGGTAATTGGTGTTGATTGGAAATTGGACGAGTTGTTCGAAATACACCGACATATTCATTGAACATTACTAATTTTCAGTCACACCACCCGATCGTCTCATTGGGAACCGCCTTGGGCATCGTGGCGATGTCGACTCGGTTTGCCTTACGGTTGGGAGCAAGCCAGAGATGATGCCGGCAACGTGTACTATATCGAGTTAGTTGCGTTTATACTTCAAGCGTATTGCGTCAATCGATCTCTCTATTTTACATGCAAAGGACTTCAAATATACCCCGAAAAGGAAAGTAGCTCATATCGACAGAATAGAAAAAACAAGTCGTCTATTCAGAACGTACTTTTGGGACGAGTTATTCCTTCGGCAGAATACTTTTTCCGATCAATAGCTATTCTTTGCATGCTCCCAAACATCCATTTACCGGTTTTCCCTTCCAGTCACATCAACCGAACCACAACCTATAATGATCCTCGAGACACGGCTGCTCCTGAAGGACCACGAACGGTGAAACTTCAGCGACGACCTGAGATAGGGTACGGATTCGTGGCTGCTGGCCAACATCCGACTATTATCCAGTTCGTCTCAACCGGTCAGTTTCCAAATGGAGCTAGACCACAAATTGCTCAAAGTCCTCTGATTTCTCATGCCTTTGCTTTCAGAAGGTCCATCGGATGGTTTGCTTTTTGCAAATGATCAAATTCTCGCGGTGAATGGTCAGGATGTCCGGCACGAGTCCAAGGACAATGTAGTAGCGTTGGTTCGGTCTGCCACTGATGTGCTAGAGCTTACCGTCGAACAACTGCCTTCTCGACCGGTCAGTTTGTCCACGTTATACGGTAATTCCGGAAAGGGAGATACAGTATGAATTGAATCGGTATTGTTTTGAAAAAAGTTTGTTGGACTGGTCCCAATCCTGTCCTGGTAATTTCAAACTTCCGCATTCACGCTTGAGTCTGTCCATGAACTTCCTAGGGTGATTCCAGAATCAGGAGTCTGGCGGGACTGAATACAAGCCACACCGCTCCCACATGCGTGGTCTGGAGGTAGCAAGTCATAGAGCCAACCCATCCAGCAACCTACGCCTCCCACTTATCCCGTTAAAGTAAATATCTTGTGCTCCGTCCAGAGAGCTGAAGGCTCTGTAATACACTTACATAGGCTTTCCATTTAGGTGATTCAATACATCGTAAATGCCGTAATATGCCACGATTCTTTCGAATGGGAATCGGATGCAAGCCGTATTCCATGAAAGTAATGACCAGTATCCTCCACGACCTCGCACTTCGTCGACGCTGAGTTTTCAGGGCGCTCGATCCTCTCCGCGACCATTCAGCCATTCCCCCCCCTCCCTCACTGGCAACTATCCTGACCTGCTTTCTGATCAGCCACCTCATTGGCGACTATTCTGACCTGCCATGTAAATGTAAGGTCTTGGTGTAGTAGGTGTGGTAGTGGG